AGAAACAAACAAACAACACGCACATACACACACACACAAACACACAAACACACAACACATAAACACACAAACACACAAACACACAAACACACAAACACACAAACACACAAACACACAAACACACAAACACACAAACACACAAACACACAAACACACAAACACCAGCACAACACACAACACACAAACAAAAACACAACCACAACCATAACCACAACCACAAACACGCACACGCAAACACAAACACACGCACACACAAACAAACACAAACACAAACTCACAAACACATAAACACAAACACAAACTCACAAACACACACACACACAATCACAAACACAAACACATAAACAAACACAAACAGAAAAAAAAGGAAAAAAAAACAACAAAAAAAACACAAACAAACAAACAAACAAACAAACAAATAAATGCACAAACAAACAAAACAAACACACACACACACACACACGACACACACACACACACACGCACACCTGCGCAAACAACACTCACACACACACACTCTTAGAGAATCCCCTAAAGGAGCAACAGCCTTGCTCCGTTTTGTCTCATCTGGGGAACAAGCTGAAGCAGTAAAGCGGAATGAAGGAACAGGTGCCCCTGTTCCATATATCACCGCTCCAAGGCATGGTCTTCTTGGAGCTCGTTGGCCCCCTTCTCTCCAGAACCGGTGGTTTTTGTCAGACTTCCACGCGCAGAACTCCAGGCAGCCCAGGCGTGCAGGCTTCAACGCAAGGGAAAATGCGGATAAACTCAAATTGGAAAGGAGACTGCAAGGATGTAGTGCACGAAAATTAGAAAACAACTGTCTGTCTGAATGCACAACACACACAACACAACACAACACAGCACAACACAACACAACACAACTCAACTCAACTCAATTCAACTCAACGCACGCACGCGCGCGCGGTGCGCTTGGCAAGCAACATCAAGCAGCTGAAAAGGATCACCAAGGCCGTGGATGTCGGCCGCTTGTCGAATATGCCCTGACCAGCCTTCCCAAACCAGTGGGTCTGGTGACCATCGGCGTGCAGCCTAAAGCATGGATACCAGCTGTAGCAACGCAGGAAAATGCACCGAGTGCTTACGACTCATCTTTTCAGGTGACATGTTTCATATCCCAATGCGTCGCCTGCTTGGTGTTGTACTTCTGGGCGACTCTCATGGACTTGTTGATGCCACGGGCCTGTGGGTCTCATTGGCTCTAGGCTTCCCTGGTGCTGAGTGGTGCGGCACCCTATGGCATTTGTTGGGTGCTGTGCCATGCCAACAACTTCCAGATTCGCTCGCAAGCTGACATTGCAATCCATGTAGGACCCCACAGCGTGCTAGCGGGACACGCGCAAAAAAACGGATCGTGCCAATTGGTGAAACCATACACATGCCACAATAACACGAGTATCATCGCCCTATTGGTTCCAACGGCATTCCGCCGACTGCCAAGGAACCGCAACGCAGAACAACATATGTCATCAGGTGCATTCCAGTGCAGTTTGCTCTGGGAGGTCTCGCCTCGAAAAAGTCCACGAGTTTCTGGTTGCCCCCGGACTTCTCCTGGGTCTCCATATGTGGCTCAGCTTCATCCGCACAATAATTTATGTTCACCGATATTCCAACAAAACGTGCATACATAACCAAGTACCGAGTCATTGGCTGAATCGCTCAAGGTCAGTGGCCCGGACAAGTGCGAGGACCCCACCAGAATCGCTATGTCTACATGTGTATGCGTACGTGAATGGCCGGCGGGTGGGAGTGCGTGCCTGCTGTGGTATGTGTGTGGTGTCTGTGTGTTGCGTGTGTTGTGTTGTGTTGTGTTGTGTGTTGTGTTGTGTGCTGTGTGGGGTGTGTTGTGTTGTGTGTTGTGTGTGTGTGGCGTGTTGTGGTTGTGTGTTGTGTGTTGTGTTGTGTTGTGTTGTGCTGTGCTGTGTTGTGTGGTGTCGTGTCGTGTCGTGTCGTGTGTGTGTGTGTGCGGTGTGTGTGTGTGTCTGCTTGTGTGTCTGTTTGTGCGTCTGTGCGTCTGTGTGGGTGTGTCTCTGTGTCTGTGTGTGTCTGTCTGCGTCTGTGTCTGTGCGTGCGAGTGCTCGTCCTACAATAGAAGGCCTCTACACTCGGCTGGTTTCAATTGACAACATGCAAGAAGGGGACCCTCCAACGTGAGCGCAGTTTTCTGGGCATTCCCAAAGGCATTGCATGGCCTCTTGGGCCGAAACACAATTTTCTGAGCCCAGGTCCATGGCTGCGATTTGCTTCTCCGTCCAGGAATCCATCTGAATGGATCTCACAAAAGACAGGTGCACCTCAGCGCATGAACCCGCACGCAGCCGTGGTCCTGCCCGGGAAAAACCGGGAACAAGGAACAACTGGGCCAAGGTGCAGCGGATCACCCGCACAATACTACCCTTGAGGGTCCATCCCTCTTACTCAAGATACACCAAGGTGCACGAATCAGCACTTACTCCCAAATGACGCATTGTAAGTGATAATGCACAAGCAGAAGCAGTAGATTCCTGCCTTCCATCCGCGCTCCATTCCATGCTAGAGGAGGGCAAGTGGAATGCACCGGTTTACTGGGACTGATGGGAAATGTCAGCCGCGAATCTCTAAGTTGGGAGCCGCTGGTTGGTTTCATGTTGGATCCTTCACTCACCGCGGAGGTTACTTGCATATATGGAGCACTGTGGATCCCGAGGGCCCGGCACCAAGACTTCTGTGCTGGCCAGAGCATTCCAGGCACATCAAGCTGCCATAGGTCACACTGGCCTGGGAGGCGTGAACACGCAATATTGGAAGACGCACACATTCCGAGTGTGACACAAGAACACATTGAAAACCGCTCATGCGCCACGTACAAACAATTACACTGACACCAGCATAGACCCCAAATAGCTAAAGCTGCACCTGCACCAGCACTCCACACATGCCCTCTAGCCCTGCCGTGAGTCTCGCCAAAGCGCGCCTGTGCCAGAACACCTGATGAGCACCCCCAACAGCACCCCCCGACCCCCCGAGTCCCGCAAAAATGCGCCCGAGCGTCACCAGCACCACCACCCCAAACAGCACCCCAAAGCCCTCTGGCACCCAGCCATCAGTGTCGCAAAAAATGCGTGCACCAGCACCCCAAACTGCATGCCCCCTAGCACCCGGCCCGTCAATATTGCAAAAATGCGCCCGCGCCGTCACCGGCGCCTCAAACAGCACCACAAGCAGCAGCCCAAAACAGCACCTGCATCAGCACCCCAAACTGCATGGCCCCGTAGCACCCTGCTGTCAATCTCGCGAAGATGCGCCTGCGCCACCACCAGCACCCCCAAACAGCACATGCACAGAACCCAAAGTGCATGCCCCCCAAGCACCCAACCGTCAATCTCGCAAATCACTTTTCCCTCTTTATTAGAAGTTAGAACCCCTATAGCTTTCAGCTATCTGGGGAATAATTGCAACTTCGTGGTTGCGCCGAACTTCTGCACAAAGCCACATGAAATGACCGAAGGTTACTGCCCTCTGCACATGAATGCATGCGCTGCTTGCCGAAGGACCCATTGTGGAGCATTGTTGCTGCAGTCACAACCTCAGTTGAGGACACGGCAGGGGGCAATCAGACCCCTCCTTTGGCCAAGGATTGAGAAGCCGATTGGATATGCAGATTTCAACATAACTGACAAGCAAACTCCACCTCAGACTTTATACAGCTTAGAAGGAATGGTTGATGACTCTACGATGCCAACTTGGGGGGTGCTTCAGCAGTTACGAGTAATTTGAGCCAAACATGTCATGGACCTGTCATGCTTCTTCTTCAATGCTCGAACCCATCATGCAATACCATGAGCATGCTGTACATCAAACTGCTCTTGAAGCCGTGCAACAAACCTACCAATGAATCTATCTTCAAAAACCACACCAAGGTACAATAATCGCATGCAGACCGCCTCCGGTCCAAAAGATGGCCAATGCATCAAGTCAGCAATGAGTTGCAGTGATTACTCTGTTGGCCCTTTGTCAAGGCCTGGCAAACCTGCTCCTGCCCCTTAAACCCATGCAGTGCGTCTTTGGACCCGGGCAAATGCTGTTGCCCGCCAAAGCCCGTATCCGAGCTTCCACGTCCTGGACCATGTGCGATATGCTTGAAGTAGTCAGATGTCCCTAGCAATCATTTACACACTATGTTGATAGACTTCTGGCCCACTGGCCCCGAATGCCTCGCGGAATCCTTCCGCAAACATGGCAGATGTGATGCGCATTGCTGATGAGCATGCTGTGGCTAACCCCATGTTACACACACACCGCACCTTCGGCATCTGAGATCCGGCTGCCATGGCTGCGCAATTCAACAGAAACGGTGTGGGACAAGCGGGGAGTGAAGCAAACAATAACATGCTGCAGCTTTCTCCCGGAGTTGGTGAAAGGGCTTTGGCATCATTCACATGGTGTAGCTAGCTCATTATGTAGGCATAAGCGCAGCGTTCTCTGTGTGGTCAGCAAAAATGGTGTCACGGTGGCCAGTGTTAAATAAACTGTCTTGCAAACTGCGCTCTTTCCATGATTGCTCGCCATGCCTTTGCATGGTCGTTACAGTGCCCAACCAACGGGGGGCTACCCGCTTTTCTTTCTGACAGGCCTGAGGACAAAGCAACAAAGCACCAATCTGTGCACTACATGTATGCGCCCTGACAAACATTTGCCGGCCACGGAGAATCCAGCGCCAGGAATACTCAAGCCTACGGCACACATGCAACCGGTAATCAATTCAAGGCGTTTGAACCAAGTGCAATATCGGCGCAGTCGCTGATCAGTCCTGTCCACGCGGAAACACAATGCGACATGATATTGCTAATTCCGAAGAGTTGCTCCATACTGCAGAATCTACATTGTGTGTGTGTACATATATGTATATATATATATATATATGTACATGTATATATATATATGTATATATAATAGAATTCATTATACAGTTGATGCATACATAGTTGTAGGGTCCGAGCTCTTCATAGTCCACTTTGTCATCTCCGTTGTCATCCAGCCGCCTGGCAATTGACTAAGCGCCAGAGCTTCTGAATCGAGGCCACCATGCCAGGCTTCACTTCACGAACTTGCTCACGTCCTTGGTTTCTACGGAGCCGGAATACCTCGCAATCGAGTTGCGTCGGTTTGCCACAAAGGCAACACATGCCTGCAGAAAACTAAAAAACACATTGATAAGCGCGCTCTCCAACTCAGCTGGCAGTGAAGAACCCTAAGTCAAGTTTCGGATTTATCCGCCTAAATCCGGAAGACAACTTCTAAACTGCTGCTCTCGGCAAGTATCACAGCTTTCTGCTATCTGTGGGTGTGTCTTGTTGTTGGCACCCTTTCCCGAGTCGTTTTGAAGGGAACCAACGGAACACCACCTCCTATTTACAGAAAAGCCCAAAAAGACGAGAAAGCTCATGAAAAACCGGCGTCCGAAGGGCACTGTCTCAGCAGAACAAACATCTCTTTCTTGGTCAGCCGGGAATCTGCATCCCTGGCACGCGACAAGCAAGCTGTAGAATTTTGGGATGTGGGATCGTGTGATACGATCTCATGTGAATAGGCTTTTTGTTTTTTTTTTGTGGAAAATAGATGGGTTTGGTAGATGAGTGAGCCACCAGGTACACAGGCAGCCTCTATTTTCAATCATAGCCGAAAAAGGACACCTACGATCATGTTGCTGTTTCAAACAGCACCAAACATCGTGATTCAAATACCACATCTTGGAAGACACCGAGTTGAAATACCACATGCGGTCGAATCATGCCATTGCCACTATCAACATCAAAAGGCAACGTTCTTGAAGGAGTCGGACTTTGACCCAAGTAGCCAAAAATATGTGACCCACCAAGCAGAAAGCTTTCCTTTCAGCCACGAGATCATAACTACAGGATTTAGTGCTCTGCGCCTGTCGATCTTGTTGAACACGGCTTTCACCATACGCTCTTCTGTTACCTCTTGCTCCAGCCTTGGCGAAGCTAAGAAAGCGAGGCAGGTCCGAGAATAGGGTAAATACTTGGGGCTGCTCCGCTGTTGGTGGTTCCTTGTGGGGCCAGCTGATGAGTCTTCCGGTGCCAAGCTCAGTCTTCCGGTGCCAAACTCATTCTTTTAGCCAAGCATCACATGTGTTGTGACTTAGGGCTGTGCACGACTGCGGCAATAAACTCGGAGATATCCAAGTGCCCATTTCCATTCCTGCAGCTGGCTTGTCGATGCATGCCGCACAATTTATACTTGACACGGCGTCCCATGGAGTTGTGTAAACCAATGACGTGCGACCAGTGTCATCGTGGATCAGAGCGTGAGGGGTGATGGGCGAGAGCTGTGGCAGTCCTGTCCAGTACCTTGACCACCTCCGACACATGACTTGCGCCGATACCAAGCCTGAAGGGCAAAGGCTTGGCAGGTTGGGACCAAGCAACCTGCCTAAGCATGCTATTATGCTGAACCCTGCAATTGCAGAGTTCAGTGAGGTCAAACACATTTCCACACATTTCAAAAGCTGGTACTTTGACACCCTTTGTTAGGCCGTTAGGTGTGTCAAACTTACTTGCAAGTGGTTTTTGACTTGTGGATCCCACAAATGTTGTCAAAAAACAAGTTGCACCTCGAGGAACTGGACGGATCCCTCTCCCCCCCAAAAAAAAAGCACTATATAGGTGGCGTTCCTGATGACAGGGAAAAGGGGGGGGGAACAGAACACCGAAACTTTGAAAGTTGCAAGCATTCAACCCGCCCTCACTTGTCCTGCGCCGCACCGAGCCCGGCACTCCGACGCGGACGCCTTCAGCTCTGCCAGGGACACCACTCCGTCCCCGTTTTGATCCAACTCCTCCAGACGTCAAGGCGCCAAGAGCCACATCGCAGAATCTTCCAAAGCCTGATTGCTCCTTCAAAACCGCGGTGACAGCCGCGGAACGAGGGAACATATTCCCTGTGTTTGCAATGGACAAGGGGCCAAGGGGAAGAGAAGGCGATTCCACTGATTGTGGATTTTACATAGGTGCCCTCTCATGCTTACGCCAAATCAAACAGTAACTTCCAATAGTGTCCTTTGCGCATGGAGCTTGCAATGGTGAGTCAGGTGTCCCCAGCCACAAACCCAGGAGAACAAATTGCTCAAGGATTGATAAGCTCTTTCCTCAAATGCACTTGCTTGCTGGATTCAGCCAGAGAATGTCCTTGGCAATTGTGTCCAACGGTTCGTTGCACGAGAAACGCACAAGCAACGCTACGACTGTAAAGCTGAAGAACCTAAAGAAAATCCATATTTCGTCGTATTTTGAAGCAACCTCACACTTGCCCTTCATGGCAGCACGGACTGAATCGCTTAGAAAGGGTATGGTTTTGCAAAGAACGTTCCGTGGCTGTGAACTGGTTGCCTTGCCCTCTTGCAGCTCCAAACCCCAGCACACACACACACACATATTTGCATATGAGCAATTAGTTTGCGAAACACAACTTGGCACGATTGATGCTTGATCAAACAATTAAACGATTGAGACTCAGACGGATTGGATGCGTTGCCGCTTCCATCTGAATATGACTGAACCGGCAGTCCCGAAACATCTTTTCCAGCTTGGAGTAGGCTGTGTGAGTAAGGCCCGTGTCTGTCAGCATTCGTGCCACCTCGGTGCTATTTACTGACATGTCAGCGCTAATGCAACATCATACGTCGCTAGAGCACGAACCAGAAGGGAATGAGTGGAGCAGTGTCTTGTGCCCCGGCTTCTTTGCCACTTCACACAAGGCGCATCTTAGGCGCGCACTGTTTGCTTGCCTCGTGAGCACTGAATGCACAGCTGGGCACAAACATTTTTTTGTAGGAGGCACGGACCCCACCGGTCACGTGCCCCTATCCAGACAAGGTTATCCTCAAGCTTTGGACATATCATTTCAAACCTGGTGTTGGTTCTGTGTGGGTAATCATCCCTCTCAGTTCTATTCCTCATGAAGTCACTTGACAACGGCAATCTTTTGCACGGTTGTGGGTCTGTCTGTTGTCGAGGGTACCTGTTGCCCCCCTCCCCGATTTTGGAGGGGTCCAACCTGAACACAGGAAAGCAATGCAAAACCCAACGCCAACCCACATATTGAACCCAAACCTAACCAATCAACACAAACATCAAGCCATGCCTGACTCATCAAACACACAACTAACAAATATGCTTGGTTTCGCTATTAACCCAAATAGACTAATAACAAATCAACCAAAGGCATTGTAACTGCGGAAAGCTTCGGATTTCGGTTTGCAGCTTAGACTTCATTGTTTGCAACTGCTGAAATTTCACCCTGAGCTCTTACGAAAATGCAATGGGTACAATTCAATTGAATGACTATACTGCCTGGCGACTGTCAAAGGGGGCCACGGAGGCACACTCTTGCTGCACAGCTCATCGATTCATTGGGCGAGCTTGAAATGACCGTGGACACAAAGCAAATTGACGACCACCGTTGCCCAAACATGGGCGTCTGTTGATCAAAGCCCGGCTTTTGCAGCGCCTTGCACCAAGTACTTGCGACTCAATTGGTTGGTACACCAGGGATCACTGATTCAATTGCCATGACTCCCCCACCAACTCGGATTCTTCAAAATGATTGACTTCCATTCTGCAGTCCAACGCCAAAAATAATGATAGCCATCATGAAATTCATTTCACTGGTTGACAGCCTCCAGCAGTGAACAGCCGAGCCCATGTGTGAGGTCGATGCGCCATTCTCTTCAATGTTGACTCCGGGATAATTTTACCCATCTCATCCCATTACTCATTTATATATATATATATTATGTATATATCTATGTTAGTGGGGGGTCCCCTCCGAACGGTGAGGACCCCCCGCTAAGAGGGGACACCCTGCACATGAATCAACGGGCTCAGCTGCCAAGTAGCAATGGTCCCGCTGCAGGAAGGAGTGCAGTTGCTGGATGGCGACGAGGCTCAGCTTGGCGTCCTATTCGATGCCATGCACAGCCGATGGCCGATCCGATCCTGAGAGACGAACCACCAAACTGACCTGTGAGATCAGTACCACCTCGGAGGGGCCCTCATGCTAGTGGTTTTTTCTCTGCCGGAAATTCCATTTATGGGGTATTGTGGGCCCCTTTCACACCTCTTTAAATACGAGGTGCTTCTACCTGCAATGCTACAATTTGCATCTCCCCCGCTCCCATTCTTGAAAACAATGGAAAAGCCTAAAGCAACACAAGGCAAAGGGAGGCAGAAACTGCAAAACCAATGGATGCCAACGGCGCCTGCAAATGGAACACGGGGGGGGATTTCCTGACAGGACGCAGGACATACACCTCCCTCCTAGTCAACGCACCCTTCCACACCTTTAAATGTCCTATTTGAGAAAGAAGCAGCCTTTGACAACAGTTGAATGGGTACTTCCCTTTGCTTTCTTCTGAGGTGGCAAACATATCCGTGCAGGTCACTCTCTTCATGGCTTCGGTACTCTCTTACTTGCCCCGGTGTTGGGATTCCCCAAGCGGCTAAGTGGGAAGCACATCTGAGTCGTCATCAAAACCTGGGCCAAGAATGCTGAACCCAAAACCAAAGTAAAGAGCTACTGTTCCAAGGCGGATGCACCTATGACGTCCTCCACTACCCTTCACTTACCCGTGTTGTGATTCTTGCTTAGCCAGGTGCGCCTTGGCACCGAGGCACTGCTCCAAGAAGCTGAGATGAAGGCATCCACTTGCTGGGGCTCTTCTGGCCATGGGCTCTTGGGGAGATATGGGTCAAAATTAAGCCAGGGGACCGCAGGTTTTCGTCCTTTCCATTTGCCAGGGTTCCACTTTGACAGCTGAGGAGGGGCTGGCTTCGACCTGAACCATTTGCCTCGGGAAAGCGCTGAGGACTTGTCAGGTAGGTTAGCTCTGCAACGGCCAAACAAGCCGGGTGTACGACCGCCAGGGAACCTTGAGCATTTCCTCCACAGCCTCCTGAAACATGCGCCCGGCTGACATAGCATTGACGAAGATTGACGAGGGTTGCAAGGCGGGGCTCGGAAATTTGGATACAACGTTGAAAGAACTTGATCATTCAATGTTGGCTTGCTCATGCTTGACACCACTGCAAGTCACTGAGCCATAAGTAGGAAAGAACTGCACGGAATGCAAATGGTACATAAACGCAGCATGCGCGAAGCAGCAGCAGTGTTGGCACTTCCGTCATAATAATCACATATCTCTAACAGGTATCATATTGAAATAATCCGGTTATTTGCCACTCATCTTTCTTATATCCGGCTCTACCGCATTGTCTTGTCAATGTAGACATTGCGATGCCAGCTCCTTCAACACGTAGGAGCACTCTGCAAACTCCACGCCGAAGGACCACATGGCACGCTGCACACGCCCGCTGAGCTCCTGTTGCTTCAACTCGCGATGGGCCAAACAACGGGCACTAGACTTCCCAGCACGGCCCCGCAGAGTAAGAACCAATCTGAACAAGTGTGGCTGGTGATTGGAGGGATTTGAGCGTATATTGCCAGCAATCGATCATGAAAACCTGCACAAACCAGGTGGGAACAAAACAAGATCTTTGTGGCTGACATCGCCACAGCGTGCCGGGTCGTTTCGCTTTTAATTCCCCAAACAGCGAGGCATTGGGGTTCTAACTTGAGGTATAGAGAATAGGAAAGTGTGACGCCGATTCCGGGGTCCTGTTTTCCGGTTGTCTTCCTGTCTCCCAGTGCTCCGACGCGGGCTCCGGGGTCGTGTCTCCTGTGTCTGGATGCCAGATGCTGTGACGCTGGCTCCGGGTCGTGTCTCCCGCTTGTCTCCCTGTGTCTCCCTGTCTCTGCGGTCAGATGCCAGATGCTGTGACGCTGGCTCCGGGTCGTGTCTCCCGCTTGTCTCCCTGTGTCTCCCTGTCTCTGCGGTCAGATGCCAGATGCTGTGACGCTGGCTTCGGGGTCGTGTCTCCCGCTTGTCTCCCAGTCTCTGCGGTCGGATGCTGTGTCTCCCAGTCTCTGCGGTCGGATGCTAGATCCTGTGACGCCGGCTCCGTCCCGCTTGTCTCCCCGTGTCTCCCAGTCTCTGCGGTCAGATGCCAGATGCTGTGACGCTGGCTCCGGGTCGTGTCTCCCGCTTGTCTCCCTGTGTCTCCCTGTCTCCGCGGTCAGATGCCAGATGCTGTGACGCTGGCTCCGGGTCGTGTCTCCCGCTTGTTTTCCTGTTTCTCCCTGTCTCTGCGGTCAGGCGGGGTTGTGTCTCCCGCTTGTCCTTCTGTGTCTCCCATCTCCCGTTTTTTGTGATGTGGCTCCGGGGTTGTGTCTCCCAGTCTCTGCGGTCGGATGACAGATGCTGTGACGCTGGCTGCGAGGTCGTGTCTCGCGCTTGTCTCCCTGTATCTGGATGCCAGATGCTGTTACGCTGGCTCTGCGGTGACGCCAGCTGCGTGTCTCCCGAAACGTGTTTCCCGCATGTCTCCCTGTGTCTCTCAGTCTCTGCGGTCAAATGCCAGATGCTGTGACGCTGGTGTCTCCCGCTTGTCTTTCTGTGTCTCCCGCTTGTCCCTCTGTGGTCGGATGCCGGATGCTGAGACGCTCGCGCTTGTCTCCCTGTGTCTGGATGCCAGATGCTGGGTTGTGTCTCCCAGTCTTTGCGGACGCTGTGATGCTGGCTCCGGGGTTGTGTCTTCCGCCTGTCTTCCCCAGTCTCTGCGGTCAGGTGTGACTTGTCTCCCTGTGTCTCCCAGTTTTTGCCCCCTGTTTCTCCCAGTCTCTGCGCTCGTTGCTGTGAGCTGGCTGCTTTCCTGCTTACAGCCCTCAACAGGAAAAATGAAGTTCCCGCACATCTTCTTACCCAGTTTTGAGGCTGACCTGGCTTGCTTGGCATCCAGTAACTCGAAGGCTCCCTTCTGCTCACGTGGCAGCAGCTCGCAAGCGCAATTGAGAAGCATCAAGCTAGAAACATAGATTCGACAAGTCAGCAGGAACCACTTGCAACAATGTTTCGCAACGGGGAAAGGGCATGTGGCAGATTTTGCTGCTAACCTGCGTGCAAAAGATGTGCCTCTCTCTTGGCCAAGCGCAGGTTTGCATCCTGGTGGAGCATCGTTGGAGCTAGAAACAAGCAATGTCGAGCCTTAATTTTTTGTTGTTAAACAAACAAATCGTGACATCCGGCTGATTGCTTTGCTCAAGAAACTGAGCTGCTGTTTAGAAGCCAGTGCCGCACTTCTTGGTCAAGTGCAGGTTTGCATCCTTGTGGCGCACCAGCAGGGCCCTGTCGAGCCTTTCTATGTTTCTCTCGATAAAAACCAATATATAGTGACATCCCGCTGATTGCTTTTTGGAAGCCAATGCCGCACTTCTTGGTCAAGTGCAGGTTTGCATCCCTCTGGCGCATCAGCAGAGCCCTGTCGAGCCTTAAATATGTAGACAGACTGGTTTCAATAGACAAATACGGCTGATACTGAGCTGCTTTTTGGAAGCCAGTGCCGTACTTCTTGGTCAAGTGCAAGTTTGCATCCTTGTGGCGCATCAGCTGAGCTCTGTCAAGCCTTAAATGCTTGGTCAAGTGCAGGTTTGCAGCCTTGTGGCGCATCAGATCCGGCTGATACTTAGTTGCTTTGTGGAAGCCAGCGCCGCACTTCTTGGTCATCCTTGTGCGCATCAGCAGAGCCCTGTCGAGCCTTAAATCTGTCCATGTTGTTCTCGATAAACAATCACTTTTTGGAAGCGCCGCGCGCTTGGTCAAGTGCAGGTTTGCACTCTGGCGCATCAGCAGAGCCCTGTCGTCGAGCCTTAAAGTATGTACTTTTGTTCTCGATAAACAAATACCGTGACATCCGCCTGATTGCTTTGCTCAGGATTCCGAGCTGCTTTTTGGAAGCACTTCCTAGTCAAGTACAGGTTTGCATCCTTGTGGCGTATCAGCAGAGCTGTCGAGCCCTAAATCTGCATATTGTTCTCCATAAACAAATATGCCGTGACATCTGCCTGATTGCTTTGCTCAGAATTCTGAGCTGCTTTTTGGAAGCCAGTGCCGCACCTCTTGGTCAAGTGCAAGTTTGCATCCTTGTGGCGCATCAGCTGAGCTGTGTCAAGCCTTAAATGCTTGGTCAAGTGCAGGATTGCAGCCTTGTGGCGCATCAGATCCGGCTGATACTTAGTTGCTTTGTGGAAGCCAGCGCCGCACTTCTTGGTCAAGCGCAGGTTTGCATCCTTGTGGCGCGTCAGCAGAGCCCTGTCGAGCCTTAAATGTGTCCATTTTGTTCTCTGTAACCAAATACACCCGCCTGATTGCTTTGCTCAGGATTCTGAGCTGCTTTTTGGAAGCCAGCGTCGCACTTCTTGGCCAAGTGCAAGTTTGCATCCTTGTGTGGCGGATCAGCAGAGCCCTGTTGAGCCTTAACATATGTACTTTTGCTCTCGATAAACAAATTCCGCTGCTTTTTGGAAGCACTTCTCAGTCAAGTGCAGGTTTGCATCCTTGCGGCGCATCAGCAGAGCTGTCGAGCCTTAAGTCTGCATATTGTTCTCTATAAACAAATATGCCGTGACATCTGCCTGATTAGCTTTGCTCAGAATTCTGAGGTGTTTTTTGGAAGCTAGCGCCGCACTTCTTAGGTTTCTGGCGCATCAGCAGAGCCCTGTCGAGCCTAAAATGTGTCCATTTTGTTCTCGATAAACAATCACTTTGCTCAGGATTCTGAGCTGCTTTTTTGGAAGCGCCGCGCTTGTTCGTCAAGCGCAGGTTTGCATCCTTCTGGCGCATCAGCAGAGCCCTGCCGAGCCTTAAATGTGTCTGCACTCTCGGCAAACAAATGTTCTGGGACATCCGGCTGATTGCTTTGCTCAGGATACTGAGCTGCTTTTTGGAAGCCAGTGCCGTGCTTCTTGGTCAAGTCCTTCTGGCGCATCAGCAGAGCCCAATCAAGTGGCCGTAACTGACTGGTTTGCCTCCTTGTGGCGCATCAGCAGAGCCCAGCCAAGTGGCCTTAACTGACTGGTTTGCATCCTTGTGGCGCATCAGCAGAGCCCAGCCAAGTGGCCAGAGGGCTTGTGCGGGTCAGCCACCGTCTTAGCCAGAATCGTATGAAGCGGCACCAGCAAGTTGCGCAAGCAAGTTGCGTTAGCAAGTAGCACTAGCGAGTTGCACTGGCAAAATTGCACTAGCAAAATGGCGCAAGCCAGTAGCGTGAGCAAGATAGCGCTAGCGAGATGCACGAGCCAGTAGCGCTAGCCAGTGGCACTAGCAAGTAGCGCCAGCAAGTGGCGCTAGCAAGTTGCAGTAGTGAGTTGCGCTAGGAAGTTGCAGTGTGTTGCGGCAAGCGCTGCGCGCAGAGAGCTTGCTCAGACAACTTGCTCATTGAAACTTGTTCAGAGAAACTTGCTGAGAGAACTTGCTCAGATAATTTGTGCCAAGAACTTGCTTGGAGAACTTGCTCAAAGGAACTCGCGCCAACAACTTGCTAAGAGGAACTTGCACAGAGAACTTGCTAGGATTACTTGGCGCCGTGCGCTGCTCATGCTTTCGGGCCACCCATCTTCTAGTCTCCTCTTGGTAGCATCGCTGTAGTTCGAGCACCCTTTCTTGTTGGCAGTGCTGTTGTAAACCTTGCCTCCTATCCTGTTGCCAGTATTTAGCACCTTCTCAGTTGGATAGCCATGTGGCCCGGACAAAATCATATCCAGTCTTTCGCTTCGCTAGCTGGTCCTGCGACGCTTTTCTTCCGCATTGCAACCTGTGTAATCCAGTCCCACTGACAAACGCATTTTGCTCAAGCATTTCACACCTTCGTGATGGCAAGGTCGCAGCTTTGACATATCTCGTTGCCCCCTGACAGAAGGGTTGAAAACAGACTTCTCAGCCTTTTTTGCAGTTGTCCGAAAGTGCCCAGGGCTTGCAAGTGCGAGGGCTCAAGGGTTTCATGGCGGGACGTTGTAAGGTGCCATTCTCTGCGGCGCTAGCTTCCCTACAGTCTCTGGACCCATGGAACACCAAAGGGGTCAACGTAGCTGTGTTGCATGGCGCTTGTGCTAGCCTCCCGCAGTGAGTATTTTTGGAAATCCGAGCAATTCCATTTCATTCTTGCAATCAACGTTCTTTTCCAAGATCTCGACTTGCATTTGGCAGCTCTGGGCGAGATTCTGATTTACTTGCTCGCAGCATACGTGGCTTGTCGGGAAACCAAGCTGGAGGGATGTGCTGATAGCATCAAGACCAACACATGCTACAGACATGGTCAATCCATTTCTTCTTTGACGGCTTCGCCTCCACTACGCCTTGAACATCGATTCCGACCTGTTCAGGCAAAAGGTTTCGGCGCTGCTGGACACTCCCAACACGGCCTAACCAGACGCTATTTAATGGCCGGTTAGCTATATGGCCGCAAACAATGGCCGGTTGGCGTTTGA